ATGGCTCCCTATCCAATAAAGGCTTCCGCTTCTACTCTTTGATGTTGGATGAGTAGAGGAGAATCATCTGTCGAGTGCCCGAACTGGACTTGCTCACATCCTCTGTGATTTTTGGCCTACCTCATTAAGGGTGACAGAGGTCACCCGGGTCTCGGGGTTGAGTGTCAGGGTACTTTCCGAAGTGTGCGCTGAGGTGTTTGAGGTGCTAATCTTCTCTCCTCTTGGTTGAGTGGTCGAGCTGAATGGAGGTCCGGGTTGTTTATCTGAGGGGAACCACGTCACCCACGTCACGCTCAGCTGAGCTGTCGGGTCGCAGAGATCAGCGCGGCTGAGGGCAAAGGCAGCTCTGAACCCACAGACTTCACACGGGGGTCAGGTTTTTGATTTCAAGGGTTATTTATTAAATGTAAAATATCTTTAGCACAGGTTAAAAATCAGACACCATCTATTTGAGACATCACAGGCTGAAACAGACCCACAATCCCTTTGGAATCCCACGTTCAGGATCGCTAGTCCACGAGGCCGGGCAGAGGGCTGAGGCAAGAACAGCACTCCTACCGTTCCCTCGTCTGCAGCTACGAGACAGGAAACAATTTACAGATGTATCATGTGCCCTTCTTACATCGGGTCGTAGAAAACAGGTATTATTCATCAAGCATCTTTTGAGTTGAGGTATTTTACTTACAGATGAGAAAAAAAATCTCTGGTTCACTTTTTTCCTAAAATACGATTTACTGAAACATTTTTTGAAAAGAAATTTTGTTTTTGGTTCCAGTCTGAACTGTTTCCTTGAGCTGCTGCACATCTGTAATGATGAACTTACTCAAACGGCTTTGCCCACATAGAGCCCTGCTGGAGCGCCATCGCTCTCGCTTTCCGCTCCGCCTCAACCCTCGATGCTGTTCAAATGCCAATCGACAACAACTGACACAGACGGTGAGCAGAAACACAGAAGGTAGAGAACCACCCACAGGAGTAAGAAAACCGGAAGACTCTACACACACTGTCAAAGAGAGGATATTGCCTGACAAATATTATCAACTCGTTTAATTTAAACCTTTTTTTTTTGTTTTCTCTTTTAACATTTTTTAAATGATTTATTTCTTCTTTTTTTTATTTTTTGAGCACATGCCATATGCGAATTTGGGGATTATAAAAGTACCTGAAAGAATTGCAAGGTGCTCAGCATGCATAGCTGTTTGTATTTACAAGTTTGTATCTACAGGGACGGGCCAAAAACAGACTGCTCTACAGTACTGGGTTTATTTACAACCAGGTCAGAGGGAGGTCAATGTCATAACTACAGATGTGAGGGCCAAGGGTCACATGCATAGAGTACAACTTGTATTATGAAGACACAGAACAGAACACGGCAAAGGAACATTACTGTTACTTCAACAACATCACATATCCCCATATACCCTTTTTGCTTTGAATACGCTCAAAAAAGGAGTTTTCAGCAACTGGTTATTGCTTAACACTGTACAAGGACATTCCCATTGCAAGTCCATGAGATCCATGGGTATCGAGTTGATGCTGAGATTGGAAGACTTGGATCTGAACCCAGAACAGTTCCAGAGCTGAAGTAGTGGCTCATCGCTGCTTATCCACAGTCGGCTTATTGCAGGGTGTTTGGCGAGTATTTCCTCTGTGTCTTGGATGAGTTTTCGTTATACCCACAAAGCAGTTACACACAGAAGGACTTGCTCCTTTGGTTTGAAGCATGTTGCTGTGGTCTCGAATTTTCAGTTTGTAGCGTTAAGGATGATTTTGGATTCGGGGTTGTTTTCGTGCATAATAATCTGTCCCACCTTCTCCACATTGCAAAATCAGTATGAGAGAAGCACAGCTGGGTTCCTTTTATAAAGGAACGTTCGAGCCAAGTCTGAAGTCTTTATTGGAGTCTCTCTGAATACCTACTAAACTAATTAATCACATGACACTAGTCACCCCTTTCTTGAATAATTATTTTACACAGCTGAGACCAAGTCTCCTCAATGCAGTCTATTGGATCATTTTAATAATAACAAGAAATAGCTATAAATGTGTGTGTATGTGGATCCATTTGACTGAATTTTTGGACAGGCCGATTGCACAGCAACAGGCAGGATATCAGAAATGTATTCACGATGATTAAGTAAATTCACTTTATTGACTGGAGCTACGAAACCTTTTTAATAACCTGCAGCATGGCAAATGTGACATAATATTGAGTTATCCAGTCTGGGGGGGGCGGGGGGGGGGTCACTGTTTCTGTTGTCAAGTTAAGCTGTGAGGCAAGTCAAAGTCAAGTAGAGTACAACTCTTAAAACACCACAGATGTTTCTCTGAAAACTACTGCGCACAAGATAATAATTCACATTTTGAGTTGAAGATAGAAAGACACACAGCAAAATCCACCAGTTTGTAGATTACATTTACAAGCGAGATCTACGGTTCCTCGTGGGTTAGAAATGACTGTTAAACCGCACGCGCGTGTGTGTGTGTGCGTGTGTGTGTGTGTTGGACACTGATTCAGCAATATTACCTTTCATTCAGACTGTCCCAAATGTTAATTTGCGTATCTGCTCGTGCTCGTGTGTGCAGGCACATGCTTGTGTTCCGGCCTGCACATAAGGATGCTGGAGGTGTTTACGTCTAACTGTGTAATGTAAGTGTATTAAGGTTGTTGCACCCCCTCTTGTTCTCTTCCTCCTTACCTCACACACCCATTGCCTCCCATCTTCATACACACACGCACACACACAATGATAGATGGCTGTGGTGGGTGGTTGAGAATGTTAATGCCTAATCTCATCAGCCTTATCTTCTACAGAGGTCAGAGGGTCAAGTGGTGAGGGGGATGAGCTAAACACCAATAAGATAGCACATTTCTGGACGCACAGTGCGCTCCATCCTTTGCTAACTGGACTTTTGCAGCCCTGCTTGCTTCTCTTTCTTTCTTTTTTTTTGGCTACTGAGAAACGGTGGTCGTAGAAAACAATATATAATAATACCGAATACATCGTTATGAAGGCAGCCACAGAAATCTGGATTATGCATGTGGAAGATCTTTAATTCTTGCTCCAACTTGCAGCAGGACCAGCGTTTGGTAACTGGACACAAACGGACTACTTTAAAAGTCGGCCCCTTTTCAAAGGGACGTCGGCGAGTCAGAGCGCGAAATCTTCAGTGGGTTAAAAGATATTTAGCTTCAGACGAGCCGGATCAGATGCCCTAAGTGAGCGAGATGACTTAAACGCGAGCGCGCGTGAACCGGCAACTCAGAGACGCACACCGCTTGGCATTTGTCTGTCTTTGATATGGCGACATGTGATGTGGATGAAGTTATCGCCCCACTGGCAGGTGAGACAGACGGCGGCGCACAGAGAGATGCTGCCTTTTCATCTGCTGTTTACCAGCTCTTCCATCACGCTGCACTTCAAACGCACTCAATCTGCTGCTGCGACTGGTTACACACCAGGGCTCCTCCTGGCGGAAGTTTACTCCGAGCTTAGAGGGTGTGTGTGTTGATGATGAGAAAAATGTTTCTTAGAATTGGTGTGTGTGTATTTAATTCACTGCATTTGCAATATACATATGTTTGTTCTCGCATGTGACAGTACAAATGCTTTAGACCTCGATGGAGCTTTCCGCTTTGTGTGTGTGTTTGTCTCACAGCTGCTTTAGGAAGCTCTTCAAACAGTTGGCATGTAATGTGGCTCCATGTGTCTTGCCCATGTTGGAGTACTCTGAATATGAGGTTGTCTCACTGTGTGCCAGTGCTGTGTGCTGAACGTTAGTCCTTCGCCTCCACATCAGTGGTCCTTCTCTCGCTCTCTCTCTACCCTCCGTCTCACTCTCGCTGCCTCTCATTGGGAGATAAAGAGACGAGCCATTTCATGTGGCCGTATAGAAGTCGCCACAAGGCCGCGGAGTTTTCAGGGAAGCTGTCACAGCAGCTTTTAGCCGGAGCCGCAACATGAAAGATCCCCCTTTGAGCAGTCGGGTTATGTGTGTAATTCTCTCTGACGTGTTTATTCTGCTGCAGCTCTAACTTTCATTTTCAAATGTCACATACATTTTCTCCCTCCAAGGATATCCTTACTAATTACTGACTGATGGGACAGGGGTGTATTAGAGAACTCAGCAGGTTCTGTTTTGCTTTAACAGTTTGTCTCGGCTTGAAAAGACACACTGAGAGTGTACTTTGCAGGGTTGAGACTTGAGTGATTTTCAAATTAGAAATTGCCCAAAAAAATGAGAGAGGACTTACTGAGAGTGAGCGAGAGTGAAAGCCTTGTGGTTGTGTGTGCGTGTGCGTGCGTTCACATTTGTTTAATGTGCGTGAATATAATGCCCATCTACAACCAACCATCTTAATCACGTAGGCGCACAATTGTACTTCAATTCCAATACTTATTCTCAACTTTGCTCGCCTGGCTGAAGCCAAACACCCGTCATGTGAAAATATACGCGTTCATTAAAGCCTGTTCTCTTGCACTGAAGTCAATAAACGCTGTGGTTTCCCTGGTGGTTCCCATCCTGACAGGAGCTGGTGTAATTGTCATGTTCTCCGCTGTGAGTCTTTACATCTGTAGCATTGTCATGGTCCCATATCGCCACAAGTACTGTACACACCGGGTAGAGAAATAAATAAATAAATATATGTATATAAATATATGTACAGGAAGGAGTTATGCTGTTCCCATGGTAATGTGACCCAGTCATCATGGGCTGCAGGGAGAGTCCCAGCGTGTTGCTTTCCCTTTGCCTGTTGACACTCCTGCTGCTGTCCCTTTTGTCTGCGCGTGTCGACGCGTCTCAAAGGGGACGTAGCGGTTCGCTCAGTGTCCGCTGTCTGCATCTGCTTCCTGTCCGGACAAGACCCGTCCCGAGGCAGCGAACCCGGCCTCTCCGTGCTCCGTCTCCCAAAGTCGCACCTCGCCGAACTCATGTCCCTTCCTCTGTGTGTGTGTGTGTGTGTGTGTGTGTGTGTGTGTGTGTGTCTCCGTCCACAGCAACAGGGCGCGGCCACCACGGTGTACTGTGCCGTGGCACCGGAGCTGGAGGGGTTAGGCGGCATGTACTTCAACAACTGCTTCCGCTGCCTGCCGTCCGCCCAGGCCCAGGACCCGAGCAGCGCCGGCAGCCTTTGGGAACTGAGCGAGCGCCTGGTTGCAGAGAGGTCAGGGGGCATACAGGCCCTCTGATGGACGAGCCAAACAGGAACCACAGGTGGAGGTGGGCAGGGGGTGGTGGGGGCGTTACGGGGATGTCCAGTGTAGTACGAACTGAATGAGTTCTACTCTGACTGCATAACACAAGGGAGCTGCCAAGTCCATTTGGATATGTAACGTCACTACGGGGGTTAAACACACGACACATACAGCACAGGAGCGGGTTTCGTATACACTCTACTGGTTAAATCAAAGGTTGAGGTATGTTCAGCTATGCTGTGGTTGTTTACAATGGGTGGTGGGGGAGTCAGGGGGATTTGGGAAGAATTCAGGGACGAATTCAGGGATCTCGTGAAGTTTGTTCTTTCTGTTTGTGTCTGTAGCTTTTGTAACTCTTCACATGTTCTCCATTTAAAAGAAGCAAATGACCTTCCTAGCAATAAGGGGTTAGCTATTATCTGTGTCCGGCCATAGTGCGCTACATGGCAAATATTATGTGATCCCAATTTTATTCTGTATCCTTTTGTCTATTTCTACGTAGATTTTTTTTCTATCGAGAGCTAATTTCTCTGCTACATTTCTTGGGGGCATAGAAGAAATAAGGAGTAATGGGCACGTGACACTCATGGATCTATAAACACACCAAGTATGGTTCTCATGGCTATATACATTATTCTGCAATAATCTGGTTTCAATGTCCCTATTTGTTTTCTTTACAGTATTTACAATATCCTGATTTCTGAGCATGTGCTAAAGGGGTGTGGACATCATATTTTTTCTTTTTGCTATTGAAGACTCAACCTACGTATTAATAATCTATACTCTGGTTAGTCTAAATTACAATTTGGAGGTATTCCTGGGAAGATCCGTGTCCATTTGAACAGCATATACAGATGGTGGAGAATCTTTTTCCCAGAGTCCTTAATTTCTGTGTCTGTTCTCTTGTTGTTGGAGTAGAACAATGTGAGTGATTTCTGTTTCCTGTTGTTGTTATTTTATCATCAATGTTTCAATATTGAACTCTGGCTTCGGGGGGCTGTGGTTTGGTTGCCCTGAAGCCGATGTGTGGACGCTTTTGAGACGTTGTGCTTTATGGCAGTCTTGGTGCCGTAGGTTGCTCTTGAAACATCAGCATTCCAGTACCATGATATCTGTAAGGAACAAAACAAGAAAGAACATTTAATACAAATCTGTACCAATCATTTGTGTGTGTGTGTGTGAAATCATTTGAGACACAAGTCCATTCATTTAGAGGCCATTAGGGGGAGATATTTATATATTTGTGTAGGGAGCACTGGAATATATATTGTATGTGTAAAAAGCATCAGCATTGAGCAATGTTTTTAAAGAATAAAATACTATGCTTTCTATGCTATGTTCATATTCTTTATGTTCAATCAATACGTTAAGTACCAGCTGCCCCACAGATGACCTGCATAGTTTCACTAATAAAAGCTAGAAAAGCAGCGGAAACTTTCTTCTTTTTTTTTAGGCCCCCACACAAACACACAGAGCTGCTTCAAAATGTTTGACTTATTTCACCATTCCTTTACTCATACGCACACACACTGTCATTCTGTCCCTCCAGCACACACACACACACACACACACACACACACACACACACACACACACACACACACACACACATACACATTCGGTCAGAAGCATGATGTGTCCTTTCACAACCAGAAACTGATACCAGTGTCCTGCCTTTACTGCACATAGAGAACAGGTGTCTTATCACTGTCCTTTCACAGCGCAGGTCACAAGTGGAGCAGAGATACAACACACACACACACACACACACTCAAGTCTCATGTACACCAGGCAATAAATGGAGTGAAAAATATTGTCTAAAACTGTCCAGGTGCACCTTGAGTAACTGTCGTCTATTATGTACCCAATGATTTTGCTGCTAAATGAAAGTAAACCACGTGGTCAGCTTATGTTCAATGTCCGCGGGACGCCGTCCCACGTGCTGATCCGGCTTTGGCTCGTTCACGGAAAAATGTTCCCCTTGTGAGAATTTGCGTGCTTATTTATCAATTATAAAGCATATTTTGCTTCTGTGATCTTTCTAAAGAGAGCAATTCCAACATCTTAACCTCCTGTAATGTTTGTCGCCTCCACCTCCCGCTTTAAAGGAGCAAGGCTCAATCCGGGGATAAAAAGCAAAACCAAATTATGTCAACTGTTTGCGACTTTATAAAAGCAGAGCCTTTGGATTGGAGGGGCGCGTACTCTGGACACAAAGAACAAGCGGCCCAGATGTGTGCGTTGGCTGTGCTCTGTAGTGTCCGATCCATCGCTGCGTGCCTGAGTGAAGAGGGAGGTTCCTGCCTGGCTTTCATACAAAGTCCTATCGATCAGGCCTTATCGGAATCATCTGATAGCTAATCGATGGGCTACACTTCCTCTCAGCGAGCAGGGAGGAGGCAGAAGCACGGCTCTCACAGGAGCAGGACCTTGATCCTTTGACCCCTACAGCCGAGGCCCGACTCGCACACTGACGCACACACGTTTTCATTCCCTTTATTTCTCTGTACTCTCTTACAGTAACAGCACGGGACCACATCGCGACAAAATGCCTGTGTCAACAAAATAACTAATGTACATTACAACGTTGTTTTGATTAGTTGGATTTACATTTGATTTTTTTTTTTCCCTTCGCTGGGTTCATTTCAGTTGGGCCGTAATTGTTTACGACTGATCATTTCATTTTCCATTATTGTTTTCGTTTCTTCTTGTGATTAACTCCATCTCACCAAGAATAATTATGAGAGGATTGATTTGATTACGCCTTTGTTCTACTGCTATTGACCTTATTGACTGAGGGAATGCCATGTTGCCATTTCAAGCGGATATATTTAATGATTACAATCAATGTTAGAGCTCTCTCTAGACTCAACTAACTCAATGAATATCTGCCAGGAGGAAATTTACCATCTAACTACAGCAGGCAGTAAAGTCTTGCTCTCTGGTCGGCTCCTGGCCCGTTCTATCCTTCCACCGATCTCGTCTGGGGATGATATTGTGATTAAAACTGTTTAAAACATTTTTTAAAAATTGCAGCAAAATGTTTTTTGTTATTTCATCTAAAAAAAAAAAAATCTCCCTTTGCACTTAATTAATTAATAATTAACAAAAATAATTATTTAAAATGTTTGTGTGTTTGCGCACGAGGCTTCATCTCACTCTCGTTGTGCCGGATGAATTCCTCTCAGATGCAACGAACCGGTTGCACGGAAATAAAAGAACGACACGCTGCTCAGCCAAAGATGAAAGTTGTGTGATGTGAAGACGCTGGAGTTGTTGGCACAAGCAACAAAGTAGCCTTTTCTCTACATTGCCCTCTTTCTTGTGCTCTTTTCTAGGAGGCATTGATAACATTTGGCTCCAGATGGCTGTGATTCAGTGAGCATGTTCACTATCCAATGCACTTATTTCCCCCCGTAGATCTGCTTTTGCAATATATAACTTTTCTGTTTTTATTGAAGTCTCGACATGGCACCTTTGAGGAAATCCTCGCAGCCCCCAAAATCCCCAGCGTGTCCTCACCGCTAGACATCATGACCTTGTAAACCCTGAGTTATTTTCCTCACCCGTTGTGTGAGTAGAGAGAGAGAGAGAGAGAGAGAGAGAGAGGGCGGGTGGGGGAGGGGACAGGGGGTATAGGAGGAAAAAAAAGAGCTCCTGCCTGTCACGGCTTTCAAACACAAAGAAAAATGAGCACATGTGCTGAAGTACAATTATTAGCCCCTGTCTACAGATTCATCACACTATAGAGAGGGAGGAGAGATAGGGAGGGGAGGGTGGAGCGAGGAGGAGGGGGGACGGGGGGGGGGGGGGGGGGGTTTTGGAAATCTCGGAAAAAATAAAACTGTGTTAGTTTGTGCGGAGTTTTTTACCATGGGGAGACAATTGGGGAGAAAAAGACGGGGGAAAACAGATAATGAGCCGGTCGCACTGTGCGGAAAACGGAGAGAGGCTGCAAAGCGGGTGCGAGGCGAAGCGTGCAAAGTTAGTTCTAGTTAGTCAGAAGAGAAGAGGGGGGGTGGGGGGGGGGTGTTTTAGGAGAATAAAGGATTGAGGAAGAGAGAAAGAGCAAGGCAGAGGTAAAGGAAGGGAAATGAAGTAAGAGGATTTGTCAGGCCAGCGGCTGGTGGCGGTAATAAAGCCTGCTAATCTGAGCCAGGACGCATGGCTGCTCTCACAGCGACTCTCTGGTCGCCACACTTTACCAGCAGGCCAAGGTTACACACACACTCACACACACGCACACACACGCACACACACACGGTTCATGTGTGTTCAGCCATCATTCTTTTGGTGAATCAGATATGTTGCATTCATTGATGACTCTCCACTCCACACATCTCCTCCTTTCTCTCACCCTTTTCTTTCTGCATTTCTTGCCCCCCCCCCCTCCCCCTTACCCCCCCTCAGCCATGTCGATTTTAAAATCTCATTTTTCTCTGTTTGTTAACTGACTCCGCCGTGTGAATCAATACCTATCAAAACCATTACATAAATACATCTGTCACAAGCAGATGGTGGAGTGGGGATGTAATGTGTCTGCTTAAGGCCACCGTAGGGTGAAAGGAGATATGATGTGCGCGTGCAGAAGTTCTCAGAGGACGCTGTGTGTCATTTTGTTTGACCAGGTGTGTCGGGCAGAGAGAGGAAGGTTGTTATTGAGCTGTGGTAAATGGCGTATAACCGGACCACTGTTCTCTCTGTCTCTCACGTACATGTGTTTATCACCATGGTGCGGAGTAAAACAACTGAGATGCACAAGATCAGTACCTACATGTATGAAACTGTAGTTGCGTTTCGAGTAAAGAAATCTTTCTCTGAAACCCGTTTACAAGCAGCCGCATTGCACAGCCTGAAACCCTGATCAAAGAAGGATTACCAATCAAAAAAAAAATATTTTTTTTGCTGTCAGTACTTGACAGTTTTAAAAACTCTCATGCAACCGTTTTGGCCCTAAGTACAGAACACGCGGATTTCTCCATACAGCTCAAATACAAGTAGCGGGTTGACGTGCACAGATATGCTGTGATGTGCTGCGACAGGGACGTGGATGGAAGCAATGATTGATGGGGGGGAGATGGAGATAAAGACATACAACTGTGTTTCATGTATATCTTTAAAAGAGGCAAACTGAATCTACTAACTAACACCAGCATAATCACAGTATTTTGTTCTCTCAAACACAAATGTGTACTTCCCATCTTTTCTTGCAGCAATCTCTGGCTCTGTTCTTTTCCCCCCGATCACCCTCAAGTGTTGTCATTGGGATTTTCACACCTCTCTGAAAGCGTAGACGGTGATTGACGGTCCGATTTACACGTCATGCTGAAGTAGCACAATAACCTGCACGCAGATAATCACCTCATTGAGAAACGCTCCGGCCTCTCTCCACTTACAATTACTATTGTGTATTTGATCACATAACCACTCTCCAACAATGCACGTAATGGGCCTATTGGCAGCGGACCAGAGTTTGCTTGTAAATAAACCTGATGGTGTTTGATTCTAATAAATTAGACTCATATATGCAAACACAGTAAAATCATAACAATTTCCAAATGTGTGTCGGCAGAGTTGTGGATGACAGGGTGAGATTCATGCTGCTACCAATCGGCAGCCTCATCACTCACTCCGCCATCCTCAAGTATTTTATTTGTTTAATTTACAAATGTGATTGCTACACCGCTCCTGCTCCAGCTGATAAATGCAAAGGATTATGGGTAGAGGAGGCCATGATTAATACGCGCTGTTTTTCAGCTGGACCAATCAAAAAAAAAAAAGGATTGTACTAAGAGCTCTGAGGAGGAATAAAAGCCATTTCTGCCAGGACATGATGTAACCGAGTACTATAAGGAAAATAAATGTATTTTCTCTCTGTCTCGCTTCCTAATTGTTGACGTTTGGGAAAGCCTTTTAGCCAAATACAATCCAGCCAAAATACACGGTGCTAAAAATGCTTGATGACCTCAGCTTTATTTCTGTAATTTATTAACCTGCATAAAGTGACTTCACATCGCTTTACAAACTACCCGTGGGTTCAGAGGGTTCCACACACACACACACACACAGTTCAGGTATGTGTTCAGTGTGTCCCATCACTCTTTTGCCAATCAAATATTGCTGACCCTGCTTCTTCCACACACCTCCTTCCCTCTAAAATCCACATCAATGACCTGGCTAATAACAAAATACTATATTTTTGTAAGAATGACTGAGAAAGTTGAAATGTGTGTGTGTGTGTGTGTGTGTGTGTGTGCGTATTATAAATGGAAGGGGGAAAAGTCCCCCTCCGAAACACACTTGCACACCTCCGAGATTAATTACAAGTACCGTGAATCACTGTGCAATTAATTAACTCATCTTCAGTAATGAGTGTGTACGTGCGTGAGAATGAGTGTGTGTGTGTGTACTGTGCGCACTTGTGTGT